ATTCACTCTTCGAGGGAGTGGAGTTGTTCAGGACATCTGGATGGAGACATGCTTGCCTTGCACTTAGCAGTGTGAGTTGCACATGGACTCCAAACAGCCTGTTGGCAGGAAGCGCTAATCTGGGAAGCATTTGTGTTGGTCCTTCACAACCAACCAGCTCATGAGGCTCTGGAGACACAACAGCAGCGAGCCAGCCGGCCGGCCACAGCCCGAGCTCTGAGTACCATGGCGGGGATTCTCACTTTGGGAAGAACCAGGTGAAGACAGTGTCTCTGCTTGTGGCCCATCCTCTACAGTAGCAGCCAGGAAAAGCATGGACAAAAACTCAGTACTGTCACTCTATCAATTCTCCTTGAATTGGAAATCAAGCGTTTTATCTAAACTCAACTCATAGATTGTTTATATTCTGTTGTGACACTGAGCAGAAAACTCAAACCCAGAAGAGAACAGTTAGGATGATATAAGCTAAAGTGAATGCTTCTTTTCTTCCTGTCATTGCAATTTTTCCTTCTCCTGAATGGTTTGCTAATCTCAAGACAATATATTTCATGTTCTTCTCCTTTATCCAGTTCTACAGTAGGTGAGAATCTGTGTCCCCTCACGTAGTTTATTCTTGGCTGTTAATGTGCATAAAATTGCATCTCCAGCAGAACAAATGCAAGGTACATTTTTGACAAAGCCCTAAAGTTAGATGTTTGAAAAAAAAAAAAAAACAACAAACCCCTGAGAATCAAACGGTGAGTTAAGAGGACCATTCTAACCTTGTTTCCACCAGAAATGCAGGAGGCAGGAGCCAGCTTCTCCTAACTTGTTACACACTTGGTCCATAGCACCATTTCCATAGCTGTGGCCAAAACACAAACATTTTTAGTGAAAGTAATAGTTTGTGTTTGAGAATTAAAAGTATGTACAAATGTAGTGAAATTGGCTCAAAGGCTATAGAGTTTGAATGGATCAAAAATTGAAGCCCTTTGTAGAAGAGGCCGAACTCACAACCCAGGGAGAACAGAAAGTGGGTGTCATCAGGCGAGGGAGTGGAGTCCGGTGACCCGGCCACTAGTCACAGAGCTGTGCTGACCGGATCACAGCTCCCAAGGGCGCCTTTGGGGCACTAATGATCTCTGGTGCTCGGACAGGTGTATTTCTTTGTTCCTGTGTTTGTTTAAGAGCATGAGCTTAAGTCACTTCCTGCTCCCCGTCATCGTGATGGCCCATAATAGCCACCATGGGAAACTTGGTTTATGAAGCAGAGGCTTTGACCCTAATTAGCTGTCGGGTGAGCAAAGCCACCTTGGAGCTTAGGAGGCTGTGTCTCAAGGTACCTTCAAGCAAACTCAGAACCTAGAGGCTGAGAAGAGGATATCCTCAAATATGTTCCTAAATTTTGATACAAACATTGGAATTTGGGGGGTTTTGCCAATGGAACTAAATCCTGAGAGGGCATCTCTGGTGTGAATCGTTAAATTCACTTCAGTAGGCATCATCACAACTTTAGGTGGAGAGCGTCTTATAGAGTTTAGTGAGACCAAATCCTAGTGACTTAAGAGTAAGTGAATAAAAATTACTGCCTATTATAGCTAGGGACAGCACCGTGTCTGAGATTATCGTGCAGCTCATATTACGGGCAAATACCAGGATGTCGAGTGCATAGATCAGCAAGCCCTCACCTGAGTTTGTTTAAATCCCCGTAAATTACAATCAGAGAACAGAATCCATCCGTCCATCCAGTCTGCCCCTCAGACTGGCAGAGCTTCAGTCTTCTCCTCGCCTCTCCGTGTGGCTTCCAGGTCAGGACTCGTCTCCCTGAGGTTGCTCCTGCCCTGGCTGGGTTCCTGCTCCCCACAGTTCAGCCTCAGCCTCAGGGGCTGCGAGCCTTGGTCTGGGAGGAGCAGCCTCCAGGGCCAGCTGATGGCCTTGGCTTTCCACTGGGCAAGGGACTTTCAAATTTCTTTAAATGCATGAGGAAGAAATGGACTACTAAGTAGAAAATAATTTGACTCTTCATATATAATCAGAAGTTTTTGACATCCATACCACTACCTGGCGAAGTAATAGTAGGCCTAGGAACAAGGGATTCCTTTGTTTTACTATAATTTACATGTTAAAGTACTAAATAACAAAAATAAGACCCTGTACTTTATTCCGATGAAGAAAAAAAGTAAAAGAAGATAACATGTACTTAGAATCCTCCTTTCTATAAGGTACTGTTTGGGATCTCTACCGAATATTTACTTTTCTAATCCTAAACATTACTTGACATGTTCTTAATAGAAGTAAAATGCCATTTTTATGTAAGACTAACTCTGAAGCACAGTCATTCCTACCTAGCATGAAACATAATTAATGATCCATATGCCATGAACATGAAATAAAGTGAAATCATATAATTCAAAATAGTGATAAGTGCCCCAATTTTGGTTTCTGAGGCCCACCCCCACTTATAAAGGAATGCCAGTTTTCATAAGAGAAAGCTTTAAGTTATCAGAACAAAATTAATTTTAATTTACTTTAATTAAAAATCTACATATTTAAATATATACATATGTATCTTTCCAAGTTCATTTTTAGGAAGAGGGAGAAAGGAACAAGACGGGAGGAGACAGGAAGGGGAAGGAAGAAAATAACTTTGATGAACCAGTAGTTATGAGGACTTCTCAGGCCTGGTGGGGACCTCGGGAGGGTTGTCACATTGTCCCTGCTGTGGCTGAGGGAAGACTGTCTCGGAGTCAATCACTTGCTCAGGATTAAACAGTAAGCGGCAAAACGAAGAGTCCTTCTCCAGAGAGCCTGTCTGCCTCTTCTGTACCGTCCAGCTCTGAGTTCCAGGCACACTGCACTCTGGTTCTGCTTCTTTGTCTGGTGGGGGATACCAGGCTCATGGGGGTACTTCAGTCCGGTATTTGGGGCCTCGTTTCTTACCTAGCAAATGAGGGCTTAGAGATCTGAGGGAGGGAAACTCACATCTTTCTTATAATTTCTCTTCCAATAATGACAGTAATAGCTCCAACTTGCCTGGCTGATTTAATATTAGGCACTAATTTAAACTGTTTAATGTCAACATAAGGGCTCTGAGTTTTCAAGCTCAATGTAATCTGTAATAACCAGTGTCAGAAAACCTGTATCTTACCACAAAATATAGTTTTTCCTTTCCTTAAAATGTGATTTCCACAGTGGGTTTTACTGGCTTAGTGGGAAGACTGCCATCTACTGAACCAACAATACCTTTCGCCGCACTACCTGAGTAATGGTTAACTTGGTGCCGTTTAGAAGTTAAAGCCGTTCATGCAGAGAAATGGGAAGGTTATTTTACTTTCTCTTTGTATACATTACCCATGACTTGATTTTAGACTTCAGATTTACAAAAAAAATTATTTAGATTTTCAGATATTTGACCAAAAAAAATCTAACTTGTATAAAATCAGATTTATCCACTGCAAAGACATTCTAAATATTAAACTCTGTTTCATTGCTGATCTTGTCTCACATATGATCTGAAAACTATTTTCCCTTTGCTCTCTTCTCCATCTCTCCTCCCTTTCTCTCATAAACCCAGGACATGGAAAGTAGAATTTTGCAAATGATTTATAGTTGTTTCAAAGAGGACCATTCAGGACAGTTTTTGTCTTTCATACACATGATTTTCCAGCCCCCAAAAAGCTGCTGATTTTTCAGTTTAATTCTGATTGATAACAGCACCCCTTCATCCTGGAATTCTCCTGGGACACGCAGGCCCCTGAGCCACTGTTTTCCCTTTCCTCCTTCCCTTGTTCAGTGACAGCCCCGCTCTGGGGACCAACGGGAAAAGAGTGTATTTGTGTCTTCTACTGAATGTCTTGTTTGCTTGTTTTCTGTTTTGTAGTCATTTCACTGCTGGGGCAGGAAAGTTGTCCATGTTTCCCTCAGTCAGAAAAGCTGCCAAATTAGGTTTTAATTCGTTTTCCTAACTTAGCCCAGGATCCCAGTAAGGAGAAAAGTAGGTTCTATCTAGGACACTTTTCCTTCTATTTAATTCCACAGGTATTGTCTTTGTCTCTTGATATCACTTTAAAAATGCCATAAAGAAAAAACTCTATTGGCAAACATAAAGCCTCAGATTTCCACAGTCTTTCAATATGATTCAAAGTAGTCATAATAAGACATACTCTTTTGTTTGTTTGTTTGTTTGTTTTTGGGGGGTGAGAGGGTCTCACTGTGCAGTTCAGGCTGCTTTGAACTCACTGTGTAACCCAGGTTGGCCTCAAACTTGTGGCAATTCAACTGCATCAGCCTCCCAAGTGCTGGGATTATAACTGTAAGCCACCACACCCAGCTTGAGACATACTCTTAATGCTTAAAAATTACAGGAAAAAACTCCACAAAAATAGTATTTCTTCATTCTAACTAGTTTTAATATATGATACTTGGTATTATTGTACATAATGATAATATTTAATATGGGTAGATAGCATTTAGATAATGACATTTTTCATTTGTCATCTTCACAAATATTCCATAAATATTGCAATAAAGTTGATGTTAAAATATTTATCCTTATAAAACATTTTTGTGGCTGCAAAATAATTTTAATAAACCCCCCATACCTATGGAGTCAGTTACAAAGGTTATTTATGCTGTAGCTTCCTAGAAATTGCCCAGACTTCCTCATATGTGTCTTTAAAGTGGGAGGAGGGAATAATGCATTCCGACTCACAGTCTTGTTGGAAGCCAAGATATAAAAATTGATAAGATACAAATTATTCCAAAGTAAAGCTATTTTCATGGGGAGAGATGAGACATTTCCCATGAGAAAAAAATAGAAAATATAAATTTGATATGGTTAACTTATACATGTTAAAGTTGAATTTTTAAATGTGATTCAGCCAAACAAATATGTTGCCCAATCTCGTTAAGTATTTAAACATCAGCGCTGTCACTGACACACACACATTTACCATGAATCAGAAAGGACAACACAGAATCAAGAGCAAAAATATGTAAATGTGTTCAGTTGAAAGGTCCGATCTCTAGCAGTCGGTGGTGTTTTCCTGTCTTCTGTGGGCCAAGAGGCCCTGTCCGTCCAGGCCTTTGAATCTGTGACTCCACAGCGCCTTCCAGTCAGCGAGAGCCTTCTGTCCTGCACTGGTCCCAGGTACACAGACTAATGATTATAACCCAGGTGCTTCCCACACCCAAATCCCAGTGCTCCGAGTCCATCCTCTGAGAAGCAGAGCTGTTTAGTGCTTAAGAAAAATCATTCAGATCCCACAAAACGGAAGAGGGGAGCAAAAGAAGTGTGTACTAACATGAGATCAGAAAGTTCTGTCTTTGAAAAAATGTTCTTTCAATGGCCTGAGCTGTCACCTAACATGGATTCTTCTTCAGGATTTTTCAGGGGCTTTGTTTTCTTTGTTCTTTTCCTTTTGCCTTTGTTCTCTATTTACTGCCCTTTTATAGCACAAGAGTTAGGTGTGCAATTATTTCAGCTCCTCTACTATACATTTACTTTTACTACCAATATTCTTGAGGTCACTTGGGGCAGCTCTGACTTCCTGCTCACATGAGTTGATCTTGTTTTGGGGACTTGTGGTGGGGGCTGACTGACGGACCCAAAGTGTGGGGAGGTTAGGGTGCGATGTCCTTGTGATTTGAGGATAAGGCTGCAGATCAGGAAACTTACATGTTTAGATTCAATGTGGCCAGCTAGATAATTTGTTAAAACCTAGTTTTAAAGTTTATGCAAATGTTGTCTTCCTCCCTTCATTGTAAACAGCTGTTAAGTGTTCTGCTAGTGTGACTCAATGTAGGGGTTGTGCTGATTTATTCTACTAAGTCTACCACTCTTAGTGTCTCCTAAATTTCACCTGGAGACTAAGGTTACTGTTGAGAATGACTTGTGGGTGGGGGCAGCTGGTCATAGTTGATTTCAATTATTCCATTTAAAATTACATAAGTATAACTCTGGGGCATTGCTTTTCCAATGGGATTCATGCTGCAACAATAGGTTATTCAATCTTGATTAAGTCTAGTCTGGTAACCATGTTAACCAAGAAGACATTTAAACAAATCTCAGTCCTAATGAGGCTTCATAGTAATGCTAGGACAAGTAAAAAGAAACTATGTCCCTTTTGTTTTTTTGACCTATGACCAGGAAGAGAGTTTGATGGAAATATTAATGACCGAATCTTTCTGAACCTCCTCAAGCTGAGTTTGGAGAAAAAATTAAAATGTTCATTGTCTAACAAAAATAGGAACTTATAAATTGTGAATCGGGTTGACAGCTGTTGGGCAAACTGTTTGCTTAGCCTTATTTTAACATTTCCTTCCCTCCCTGTCCGCTGTCTCTCGCACACATCTGGGAATGTGGGAGGGTACCACAGAAACAATTACAAAGCTAGGGTCCAGTTAAGCACCCTGCATTTTCCATTTTTAGCCTTGACTGCAACAGAAGGATGTCCCAGGAGTGGCCTGTGTGGGATCCACAGGAAGAAATGTCCTGATTTAAAATACCAATAAAGCCAAAATTGCAACAAAACAAAAAGAGAGACTTTGAACAGGCCAATGGACACAAACAAGCAAACTAAACTATAAAGAGTTCATTTAAAATGAGTTATTGCAGGGGCTGAAATATTTACACTTGAAGGATAGTGTATCCTTCGATTAAACTGGAATATTTTAGAACAAGAGTTAAAAGTTTTAATGGGAACCAAGTGACACAAACAGGATATAGAAATTATGAGGAGCCTACAAGCTCTGGTTTCTACCCTGGCCTGCCACTTCCTGGCACTGCCCGGCTACAGGGCCCAGTCCATAGCTCCATATGCAAAATGGGCAGGGGTAAGGGCATTTACCTTAGAGGAGGCTGGAGCACAGCGTTGCATGCATGTGCTCCTCTCAGTGGTTGGCATGTAATAAGTTTAGCAACGTTACTAGTAGCTATTTTCCATAGTGAGATTATTAAGGGACCATGATCACTGATGGTATATGGCAGCATCAAAGGGATATTTAATAGATCCCAATCGTGATTTTTTGATGAGATGGGAAGCAAAGTGGTTTGCCACCTACCAAAGAGAGGGGCAATCCATGGAGAAGAGAATGTCCATTCCCCACTTCCAGGCCGGGCCAGCCTCGGCGCTGGTGCGTTTCCTGGCCAGAAGCAGCCCCGTAAGCCAAAATTCCAGTTCATCTGTCCTCAGAGACCCCACAAAACAGTGCTACTGCGATTACACACTGAGCCCAAAGTGCCAAATCACTGTGATGTCGCAAAGTGAGTTGAAACTCCAGACTTTCTCCTTCAGTCTTTTCAGGCTGCTCTTCTGCAAAACTCCTCCACAGGGTGCCCATCAGATCTTTTACAAAGGTAAACTGATCGTGGTACTCGCCTACTTCAGTGTTCAGATTGTGCCCCGTGTTGTCAGCCCCAGACCCAAAGTAGACTTCCAAGCCTCCTGGAGTTGGCACACTGCCCCGACCACACCCTTCCTGGAGGAAGAGAGTCCTCTGCTCACTCCCAGCCCTGGGTATCTCGGTGCAGCCAGTCTCCCAGGGAGCAGGGCAGCCCTCTGCTTACACACTGCTTACCTCACATCCTGCCGCTAGACCGAGTCTTTAGTGCCAGGAACAATGTCTTATTCATCACCTACAATATAATCTCACGATGTATTGCTTAAAAACATAAATGAACCGTTCCTATGAAGTGTTTCTAAACTTGCTTTTGGATCCCAAACGGAACGTTCCTAGTTTCTGATTTTATTCCCTTGGATTGATACCAGCCTGTTCCCTAAAGGCAAGACTTCTGAGCCCTGTGGCCTACAAGCATTAATCGGAAATAAGCCGAAGAAAGCTGTGGTACCTGAGAGGCATCCCGATAGACTTGCGGAAGTATATTTTAGCTTATTTAATGCCAGACTCGAGGAGAACCCCAAACAGGAACCTCATACGTTATATTTGAAGAGTAACATCAACTTGTTCTTATCCTAACGATAGGAGTCTGAGTTTGCCTTTTCATCAAAACAACATGTGGTGTTCATCAAGACCAGTTGATGTTTTATTCATCATAAAGTGCGTCACTGACATTTGATAAATGTTAAATAATGATAATGATGAGGCTGGTTACAGATAGAAGTTTTAGATACAAGTTTCTGCTAAATGGAAATGTTAGCTAGCGATGCCTGCACCCTCCGTGTAGTGTGCCCGCATTGTTCATGGCTCATGGACCACAGCAGCTACTAAGGGACAGGCATCCAGCAGGATCACAGGGTCTTCTCACATCCCTAAATCTCCAGACATCTGCAGTCACCAACACAACACACTCAGCTGTACTCCATGGTGCTATACAGTTCCTGATCTCCAAATCACATTTTAAAATTGTTTATTACAGAAACTTGGGCTGTTGTTTGCATGTTTAGCAGTGTTGTGAGCAGTTGTATTCCTCTACTCCTCAAGATCTTTAAAGAAAAATACAATGCCTTTACATACAAATACATGACTGTCTACACTAAAGGGATGAAGAAGTTGATCCTAAGAAAAGATAAGCTGAGATTGCCTTTATTCTGTTGAGAGGGCGACTCAATACTTAGCAAGAATGGTTTATTGCCTCGAACCTGATTCTTATATGCCTCTCATTTTGTCTGCTGTACAATACCTCTCTTCATGTAGCAGAAGAAATGTGCTCAATTCATAGGAATATAAAACTATGCCCAGTTGTGTTCTATAATGAGAAAATAACCATAAATATGAAGTCAGCCAAGGCATCCAATTATTACTTCCTTTCCTTTGAAGTAAAGTGATATTTTGATTGTCCAATTGAAAATACAGTAGCTTATCTGTTCAGAATAAATTTGTAACCTATCGGAAAACCATTCAATGCCTGGGAAATCTCATTTTCCCTCAATCATACCACTCAATGTGTTTAATCATTAACCTGAAAAAAAAAAAAAGAAATATCAGTTAAAGAAAAAAAGAATCATAAGTCTTCATTGCTATTGCTATATTATCTCTCAATTAGTGCGATGGTAGGGGTTGAATAGCAAGGAAAACTAAATAGTTTTCTTCTTCTTTTTCCTAAGAAGTAGAGGCTCCTGTGTAAACTGATGTCAAATACAGACATTTAATTTAAAATCATAAAAAGGCTCCCCCACCACAAATAAGGGGTGGATTGAAATTTAAAATTTATAGATTTGCTCTGACTTTTTATATAGCTCTTGCATTTCTCAATTATGTGTCTTTCAGTGTAGGATAATAGAGACTTTTGAGATCTCTGAAATGTACTTTCCTGAGCTTCTTGGGATTCACAAATAAATGAAAACAATAAATTCGAATCCCAGATAGACAAAACAGACATGTATTAATTTTGACTATGGATTATACATACCTTCAAATTGGAAAAAAATAGTACTGGCTCTATTAGTGTATTTTTACAAACTCAACATTATTAGTATGTGCCATTAATAATTAAAATACAAAGCTCTGGAGCCTACCTCAACATAACTAGGTATTACGTTCATGAATATTAACAAAACAGTCATAAACTGTATGACAAAAATGACAATAAGTTTCTTAAGTTGAGAGCCTGGAGTATTTGGGTCAGTGCGTGGTCACATTCTTACACCTAGTGTAAGTGGAGTTTATGTACAGCTCTGGTATTTTGTTCACAAGAGCCCTGGATGCACAGCATATTTCAAAGAAGTTACATTTCTTTGTCCCTGTGTGGCCTGAAGAAAGTGCGTGCACATAAACACACGCGTGTTTAGAAGCTCTGTGACATGTCTCTCAGCAGGTCCTGCAGTTCCAGCTCCAGTGTCAGAGGTCAAGGACATTGAGAGGCAGGAGACACACATCTCCCTGGAGACCTGCGGCTACAGGAGAGAACTGTCAGGACACTCTTGAGAGTAACAATTCACAGCTCACTTCTAGGTTCTCTTTTCCCATGGACTAACTTCTGGCCTTTTTGTATAAACAGGGAAGCAAATGCTAACTCCTGCCTGTCCTTGCATGCAGCGAGTGCAAGTCTCTAAGCATCTCTGTATCCCAGTCTTGGGGGTGCCTTTTGAAGCTAGGTTTAAAGAAAAAATCCTAGGCCACAGATAGAGGTTACAAATGTCTGCCAATAACTGAATACTCCTTTCACATTTCCCCTTGCCATTGTTCTTC